CTCCGCCTGCGAAGCAAGCGGCCTGCCGTTGCACCCCTCCAGAAACCAGGAATGCAATGCCGGTGCTTGTACAGCGCACGGAAAAGCAGCATTTGCAATTTCTGCAGCTGAGATGCCAGCAAAAGCTTTGGGATAAATAGGTTGCAGTCCCAGCTCTTTCTGCAGCCATCAGTTTTGCATTGCCCAGTCTTCTGATTCTTTATTTTCCCCAGAAGCCATGGCCAAGAAGACCGCCATCGGTATTGCCGCTGGGACCTTTTCTGGTGCGGAGTTCAGGGTATAGTGGCGGAGTGTCTGTGTGGGGTGTGCGCGGGTATGAATGTAAGCCTCCGTCGAACTCTGGACCTTCTGTTGTGAGATTTGTAGTGGCTTTCTGACCATTGCAAGGACCTGGGCACCACGTACAGCTGCGTGGGAGTTTGGAAGAACGACGGTGTCGAGATCATTGCCAACGATCAAGGCTTGACAGACTGGACTTACTAGTGCCACGTGCTGTGTTTGTCCCGGGCTTCAATGATTCAACGCCGACAGCAAGCCATGATCCCCTCTTCTCCACATGCCCCCGTTCCCCAAGCATCTGATTGACCCCAACGGAGGCAACCGGACCACTCCTTCCTATGTGGCCTTCACGGACACCGAGCGCCTGATCCTCCGAAGCATTGCAAGCCACATGAGGGCAGACCCATCTCTGCCCATCTTCGGGGAAGATTTGTGCTGTTCTGCTACTAGTTCGCACCCCGTGTTTGTCCGAGGATCGGCGATGCAGCCAAGAACCAGGTCGCTCGAAACCCCGAGAACACGGCAACCCGGTTGCTTTTTCAGCTCAGGTCTTGCATGTCAGCATTTCATTTTCAGAATGACGAGCATTCCTCCTGAAGACGAGGGCAACCGTGATCTCTTTGCTTGGGCCCAGGTGTTCGACGCCAAGCGCCTGATTGGCCGCAAATTCAACGACCCCATCGTGCAGTCAGACATCAAGCTGTGGCCTTTCAAGTGCGTGGCCGGTCCAAGCGACAAGCCGCTCATCGTGGTCACTGTGGAGGGCGAGGACACCCAGCGCTCCCCGCAGATAATTGCAAGCCCAAACAAAGAACTGGCCAGAGAGCAGCATGCTGACATTGTTGTGCCTGCCCTAATGCGATGCCTCGCAGGAGAAGAAGTTCCATCCGGAAGAGATTTCGTCGATGGTGCTCCTTAAGATGAAGGAGACGGCAGAGGCCTACCTTGGTTCCAAGCTCAACGACGCCGTCGTGACGGTGCCCTCTCGTGAGTACAGGTATACTTAAACACATGTATTTTGATCCAGTGGCCAGTCCCTGCAGAGTTGAAGCGTAGAGCGTCCTTGCGGTGCCTGACCCAGAATTTATTTGGAAGTGGAAGTTTTTTTGAGGGTGAGTATCCCTGTCATGTGAAGCATGGCAGGTATACTGAAAAGCATGTTGGGGTGGGGATGTTCGAAGCAAGGTGCTTCGCTATTCCTACAGTCAAGGTGCCCGCGTACTTCAACGACTCGCAGCGCCAGGCCACCAAGGATGCAGGCACGAGGTTTGAGCGGCGGCAGTCAGTGCAAGGTGTCAATTTTGGCACGTCTCATGTACTTGATTCCATTTCCCTCGGATTCCGTTCAAGGTTGTAGGAGCAGGTAAATTTAGTAAACGCTGACTGCAACCGTCACCGCCTGAAACAGGAACGATCTCGGGCATGAACGTTCTGCGCATCATCAACGAGCCGACCGCAGCAGCGATCGTAGCCTTGCTTTATACCGTCGTTTCCTCACCTTAGAAAGGCAACAAGCACTTTGCATGCTGATGCTTGTGATGATCCCCATGATGTGACACGAACCATCCAGAACCAGCAAGGACTCTGGGACTGTAAGCGGTGATGAGCTTAGATGAGCTTAGGCATACGGCCTCGACAAGAAGCTTGCCTTCAAAGTGCTTGACACACTTTTGTGAACTGTGCGAGATTGTGCGGAGGT